TGGTGCCGTTGAAGCAATATGTTGCATGTGATGGATCGGTTGGCTTTGTTCTCTTCGAACAGATTAAGGGGGACTCAAACACCTGCTTTGCTTATTTTTTCATTCTGCTTTAAATGTTCTTGGTTGGTCGACCAAGGTTCATTAAGAGTGTTTGGCATTGATTTGCTTCCACTTCTGGCCTTAGCATGTTGTTGTCGAAATGCACAGAAACGACATTACTTTCCGCTCTCCCTATTATTGACAAAGTTATAGAAGTTTCCGAGAGCACATTTTCAAACTACTAAGATTTTTCGAAGCATCCGGAAATGCGTATTGTCCCCAGTACTTACGTATTAAAGCAATCACCTTGACGCAATTGGCAATTTTTTATACAACAAAAGGTAAAAACGTTACTTATGGGGTGAAAGCTGATAATTTTCCCGATATTTTTTAAAAAGATTCTATCACTTATCAATATATGAAAAAAGATACACTTCAACTATTTAAAATACAAATTTTAATTATCAAATAAGGATTATATAATACATTAAAAATAAAACACCTTCTTCGCTTAATTTTTTAGCAATTTTTTTGGACTGTTCTTCTCATCTTGTACTCAGGGGTTTGTTTTCGCTTAAAAAAACAGATATTTGCACAAACTGGTCAACTTGCAAAGGTCGGTATCACCGGCTATCTATGGAATGAATCTCGTTATTGTTCTTTTTAGTCATTTTATGTTAAATTGTATATTCTTGCAGACATTTTTTACCGCAGTTTTTCCCGTTATTGACAAATTCCGCAAGCGCTTTTTCAAAATTGATTTTAGGGCTAAAAAGTTTCACGAATTTTCAATAAAACCGTTGAAATGCAATATGAACAGCGCATATGGGAATGGCAACATTACTTGGCTGAAGGATTGTTATGAGCATGGTTACCAGAGTTTGACACACTGAAAATTCGGCGCAATCTACTAAGGCGGATGCGAGAATACGTAAGTAACCTGTACCTTTTGAACAACAATATAAATCTTGGTTGCTTTTGGAGCACCCAGTCTATAGGGCCATTCCCACTAGGGTTTATCTGAGCTAACGGGGACAACTAACGTAGCTGACACATCTCCAAAATCAGTTTTTTCACATAGGGCAACAAGTTGAAATATCTGAACTGCAAGCATAACAGAGCTAGTCGACACATGGAACTGTCTCTGTTAGCTCAGATCAACCCCAATAGGAATGGCCCTTACAAGTTCAGTCATTCCTTTTAGAGTGGTACGACTGTGTTGAGCACCTGTTCCGAGGATTCTTACAGACTTTGTTCTGCGAAACTAAGGAGTAATTGCCTTATCTGTACTCTTTTCTCTCTGGGAAATTTATAGGTTTTTGTCATGTTACACGACCTATTATTTATTTAATATTTATTAGCCAGAAGGGCTATTAATTTCGTTTTGGAATTTTGCATCAAAAACTTTAGATGTTTGTTTCACTTTTCAAATTGTCACCATCAATATAAAATCAATAAAATATCTGCATAAATGTATGTATGTTTCTACCACTGTGATAAAACAACGGTACCTAGAGCCATCAAATTTTGAATAACCTAATCCTCCACCAAATATGGGTATCTGGAAGCCCTAATTTGGAATTTGTTTTATGATCGATTTCATATTTTGCACACTTTAACGAATTTTTGATTAACAAATTCAACGATTTCAAAGCGAGCCATAGCAATGCCATACAGGAGAAAAAAAAAAACACTTTTATTTGCAGTGCCTCAGACTGTATCGGAAATTCTAATGATATGTTCCTTTTAAAACTGTTTTGCGATATTGCTGTTGAATTGAATTTTATAGTTTAAGTGCAAAGAGCATGATATTTAATCAATAAAGGTAAGCCACAAAATGTTAAAAATCATCCCTTTGGGTGCAATATAAAAGCTGAAAGCTTTCAGATTGTCTTTATTATTTTATAACAAGTTTTATTACTATTTATTTCAATTTATTGCTGCTCATATGTGTAGTTGATTTTAAAAAACTCCATGAACGTATAACAGGCAGCAATATAATTTTAAAAAATCAGCACCAAGTTCATTTAATATTCTAACACAATGTATGAAAATTACTGGTGGAGTGTTAGATATAAACCAGAATTCCAGAAAAATTATGGGAAAAAAGGCAGTTTTGTTTCACCCTGAATCGAGATCTTGAGTAGGGTGCAAAAACAGCGCAACTCTCTGAGTCTGCCTTTTCTTTTGTAGCCATGTTCTTAGTTTTCAGTTCTGGACTGTAAATGACAGATAGGCAGAATTCATCAGAACATAAAAAGAAGTATGTCAGCTAAAAATGCCTCCAACTGAATTAGCTAGTCCTCGGCATACTTTAAAATACCTCGGCGTCTATTAAATACTTTAAATAAAATTATAAATTGCCTAAAATTACTTAAAATGCTTTTTTGTTTCTTAATTCTATACCGAGTCCTAAACCGAAATTTTCCAGATCAAAATTTTTCTATGAATTTAACTTTAAAAAATTAAATTGTTTAAATGGTTAATATTTTATAAAATCTACTCAAGAAAGAGGATTAGGCGTATCAAAAATATACCTTTCTTTTTTATTAGGAAAAACATTCCTTGCTTTTCTCTAGGAGCGTACTTGAAAGCAGTTCGCACTTAAATGAATAACAGCAGCTAGAGGACATAAGACAGGAGAGCAAACTAAAGAGGCATAAGCTGAAAAAAAGAACTATTTCAAATTACTTTCAGTCAAAAACAGCCTTCATTTTTGCAATGGTTAACCATAGATATATTTCCATTTACAAAAGTGTTTTAAATGATGCTAAGATTCACATTTTTGTATTTTAAATTTTAAAAAAAATTCCAAAAAATACCAAATATTCTTTTTATATGTTCTTCTGGTTCCTATACTTATATTTAGAAAGCTTTTGTATTTGTGATACTAACCCCCAAATGGCAAAAATTAACCGAAATGCTTATTTTCGAAATTTGCAATATTTGACGTCATTCTGAATTTGCATTAGGAATTAGGATTATTCGAGACTTATTTTTTCCCTCTTTTCGGCATTCAATGACATTGGTTTATGGTTTGTTAGTGTCTCTATTTCACACAAATAATTTTTGAGTTTCCAAAGCATTAGAATCAATCTGGAAATGTAAAAAATCTTTAGCAAAAAATATTTTTCATTTTTAATTAATGCAAATAATACTGTTGCGAAATGCCCAGCAGCAGTAAGATAGCTTCTCTGCAAAGCTGGATTAGGGTTCCCAGAAAGTCGCAGGAAAATACAGGGTTGCCAGATTTGGCGAGAAATCGTCCATTTGGAGACATTTGGCAGCATAACTGGCGATAATCCAAAACTGAGTGAGAACATTCTAGAACCCATTCTTATCGGTTTTCCCGAGAATATTCTCGAAGGTAGGATTAAGCTATATATAACCCTGCCTGTACTCAGATAAATTAATGTAGTACTTGCTGTATCTTGAGTTCAGAGATTAGCTTGAGAAGGCGATCGATCGAATCGGGAGCTGTACTTTGGTGCTTTGGCGTAAAGGTGTCTTCATCGATATAGCCTTAGGGCTGTGTTGCTGATTGTTTCAGCGTGTTTATCGTAGTTTTTCGATAACTGTAAACGTGTCTTTAAAACTATGCTCTAACTGTCTTGGGTAATAAATTGTGCTTTGATGCTTCGTCACGTGTTATCATCAATCACTCCAAATCCACGAACCCGTAGAACTCAACAATATTATGATTTGGGCATGTGCTAGTACTGAAGCCTGTCACCGTTTCCTAGAATATGAATTACATTACATTATGCAAATAAGACCACCATTTTGAAAAAAATTGTATTGCTCAATATTCTTTACAATAATCTGCATTCATATGCTTTTCATATTAATATACATACCTTTTTCTAAAAGCTATTTTATTTTTAGTTACTCGCAAATGCAAACATTTCGCTCTTCAATTTGTATACGGCCATTAGATAGCATTCTCGAATTTAATATGAAATATCTTGGTCAATTTTTGTCGAGCGGGAGTCAAACCTTTTCTGTTTTACTTTTTATTGGGAGTATAAGTTGCCTAAGCGTTAAGCATAGGAAACGGAGGAAGTGTAAAAAGTAAGATTTCGTATCTTATGTAAAATATACTTCTTTCAAAAATTTAAAAATACGAATCTTCTAGTCATTTCAAATATTTTGGTACCGGAAATATATTTTCATGGCCGGATAAAGAATTCTGCGGACACGTTGTTACTAGTAAATTTTAAGCTTAGCAGTATTTCCGTGAGTTTATATCTCATTCTATTTTCATGGACTAATACGAAGAAAATAGATTGAATATCTTTCGCTTGGAAAATGCAAGATTATATATACCATAGAGGATCTAATTATCTAATTGGAGAAGTGAAGGTTGTTCTAGAAGGATAAACGAAGTTAGCAATCCTTCTTGGAGCCTTTACTTAAATTTTAGAACTCTTTGACATTTCAGCTAATAAAATGTTCAAAGAAAGAATTCAAACGTTTTTGGCAGAGTAAATAGCTAGAGATGATTGGTTTAGTTTATGTGATTATGGCAAAGCCTATCTGCCTGGAGGATGCCTTCTTGGAGAACTTTCTAAAGAACTGACTCGTATACAGGATACGATACACATGTAGAAAACAACAAAAACGCCCATGCTGCCATCCCGTTCGCGGGATTCGAACCTCGGACAGAACTACCCGTGTTCAGCAGCCCTACCACTCAGCCGCCGAAGGGCCATGCTGTATGTTTAAAGAAAAAGATACTTGCGCGTGTTGGTTATTACTGAAATTACAAGCTTGTGGTCGTGTTTTTTTTTTTTTTTTTTTTTTTTTTTTTCAGTATTTTATATGAAAAAAATTTATTTTTTGCATTTAATTTATTTTTTTCAAAATAAATTTTTTGCATTTAGCAATTTTGTTTGGAATATAATTTTTACGTACATATAAACTATGTAAATTTTTTGACAGTTTACACTGATAAGATTTGTTACGATTTTTACAAACTTAAAAAAAAATTCATGATGGTAATTAAGTTTTAATGATCAGAAAGTAAATGATTTAGTATTTGTTTTAAATTTATTTAGGAAGTCTAATTTTCCAAGCATGTTCTTATAGCCCATGTATTTCACAATGCTTTCTTGTTGAACCCTCTGACAAACAATGTCTCTCTAGATCTTCTGTGTCCCTACTTGTGGGCTAAATAAAGTGCCTACAAAAGGGAAATATAAATAAGAACCAATTTCATTTAGAAATCTCACACCTTTAATCTTAAGAATAAAATGTACCAAACATTTATTTTCTAGGCAGATATCTACGCCAGCTTGACACTTCCGATGGAAATAAAAATTTCCTTTCGACTACGATAAGATTTTTCTGAACAAAACATTCCTAGTAATAAAAAAAGAAGCAAAATAAAACATTGAGACTTTAAAGACATTTTAGAGTTAATAGTTACTTTGAAATCAACACCGCTTTTATGAGCGATAAGAACAATATATTTATTTTAATAATGGCCACTAAGCAACCCTGCAGCATATAGCTTTCTGTAGAAAACTGTTGGCAAGTATTGTCCTAGGCCCACCAGCAGATGGAGCAGTAAAAGTCACTTAACACTGGTAGTTTTTTCTGAGGTTCGAGTTTTGGAGCGAACTGGCTGGTTACATAGGCGTTTTCGTGGATTTCTCCATACGTAAACGCGGATACGATTTGCCATGCCATGTAGGCTCCTTACTCTTAATGGCGGAGTAAAAAACCATAACGATGTTGTCTCTTCCCTTATGCAGAGAGCCCTTGTATGCTTTGTCATAAACCTCCGAAACTTCTTGATTGTACTCTTTCCCGTAATTTACTTACCATATGCTTGAAGTTCGCTTGCTAGAGTCACAGAGTGGTATCTCCCATTGATGTCAAGATAAATCGCCAGCAAAGCATTGTTCTCTCCCAGAATCAGAAGAGTAATTGTTGTTGTATTTATAATAATCGCTGAAAACATCAAGGCAGACAGAAGATTTCTCTGTGGGGGAAAAAATGAAAAGGTTCAAACAAAGCAGAATGAGCTTTCTGATAAAAAAAAAACATTCATCAATAGTTCAGCAGAATTTTTTCAATGTTGTTTTATTATTTGAATCAAAAATGGTCTATAAAGTCCTTTGGCGAGACCCCGGCGAAGAAGCCGGTTGCATGATAGGAGTCATAGATTTTACATATACAATGTTAATTCGAGCAAATTAAAACCTTCTACAAAGACAGCTTTTCTGTTATGCAGATAACATTGTTATGCTTTGCCATAACCAATTAACAAGCTATTAAGAATTTTACTGTTGCACTTTGCAGTAAAAACATCCTAAGAGTTCGTTAAAAAAATTCAGTCATGTTAGGCGTGAAATGTTTACTTACTTTTAACATGTGCTTTGCAGAAGCTTTTCTGAGATTCTTCCATATCTGTGAAGATATGCCAAGCGCAGCCCCGAAGGAGAAATTCTGAAATTGCATAAAACATTTTATGATTAGGGAATTTTTGTTGTATTAGCTCTGGTGTTGTGGCCTTTTCATACGAGTGAACTTAAAATGTTATCATACACATGCTGATGCGTAATACTCCCTGCTAAATCAGATCCAACATTGAAAGATTTATTTTTCTTCTTTTCTTAATGGCAGGCACTAGCCATTTTAAACCTTGGCCACTAGTAAGGCCAAAAGCTTCAGTCATTTTATTAAAGAGGAACTTACCAGACGTCCAATGTTACATCCTAGAAAGGGACAGACAATTTACATTAATGCCTTCTCCGGGATTCGAACCTGGTCACTTCGGTACGACTGTCAGATCAAAGAACATGAATGGTATTCTGTGAAATGAATTTGAATGAGAATCTTTGGTCCGAGTGACTAACCACATTCCCGTCTGGACAGCCCAATTCATTGAAAATTATATAAAAAGATTTTCCTTGTTAATAATTTAAAACAGACTAGCAATAATGTCTGTTTTTTGGGGGGCAGAAGGCAAGTATGCTTTAATGCAAGTTTTGTTTTGGGGTATTTACACCACTTAACAGATTCTTTTTTCCGTCATATTATGACAAAAAATAAGCATATTTTTGATAAACATTTTTATGAAGAAAGTCATTATATAAACCCAAATCAGCAGTCAGAACTATTACAAGTATTGAATTTATTGATTTATGCTAATTTTTATTTTCATCGTAAAAAGCACCACATATTTCCTTAAAGTTGGCTTTTTTCGAACAAGTAAGCGAACTGGAAAACACACTTTACAAAAATAGATGTCAGAATTTAAAATGTTTTATTGTTATTACATATCTGTTCGATTCCAAAGAAGAATTATTAATATCGAGAAAGAAGGATTATTAATATCAAGTTCATAAAAGTTCCAAATTTGCGTTAGATTATCTATACTTTCCGTTTCTTTCATCACTAGAGAAGTCAGACAACAAACTGTCATTACTTCCAGAATCATTTAGTGAAATTTCAGATTCACTATCTGAGTCAATATCAGAGTTATATCTTCAGTTATAAGCTTCTCATTATCATTCATTTCTCTTTTATTTTAGCTCCAATTTAAAACAAATAGTATTCGCAGTAGTAGCCGGAACACCGGAGCTAGTGAAAAAGAAATTTCGCGCCTTTATTTGCGTAAAAGAATTCAGTAAAGCCTAACCTTGAAACCAGTTGTTTTGCAATTCTAACTTTACTGGACTACTAGCGCCATCTGTTAGAAACATTACACACTAAGCAAGCAAAAAATTCGGGCAAATCAGTGTATTAGACTAGAAAAAAGTTTTGCCTGAGCGCCGCTCGGGAAAATCAAAAAAGTGCCATTTACAAGTACCCGAACGGCGTTCGGGCAAAATTGGGAAGTGGTTAATGCAACCAGCTTGAAGCAGACTGGCAATTTTTCACAGAAGAAAAAATGTGTACTGATTTGTAATAGCGAAAATGTAATATATATATGTATATAAATTTGGCATTTAATTATGAATTCATAACAAAAATCAATCACCAAAACTATTTACAAGTGAATTTTTTTGTTTTGTTCTGGTGGAAATTTAAAGGCAATAGAGTTAAGAATGTGATTATTTTTATTGGTAATTTTGCAACAAAGTACTAAATTTTTTTACAAATATTACCGCAGTTTCTTCAATTGCATGTTAATTCTCCATCAGAATATATTTTAAAATTGAATTTATAACAAAAGATACCATGATCTATCTATAAAATCCGTTGTAACTTAAAACCAAAAAGACGAGCATAAAAATGGCTAAGTTGCTTGCTAAAACTGAAGACTTGTTTAACGCTCTACTGCCAGAACGGGTGGATTATGAACATTTTGGCGATTTCTATCATGGTGGTTATTCGAAGAGTAGTAAATGCTAGTTTTTTATGGTGTGATATTCATTTTAATGTAAAAACAATAAATAGACGCATAATTTGAATCTTTTCCGGAATAGGACAATTTATCCGAAAGATTTTTATAATTCTACAAGTAAACAGTTTAATTGTCAGCTTATTTTCACTATGGTCAAATTTTTTAAATATAAAGTATCACTCTTAAGTTAATCATTTCAATAAACAGAGAAGGAATTACTTGGAAACATACTGATTGATATAAGTAGATGAGATGGGACACCAGAATTTCACCATATGTTGTACAAGTATAATTCCACCACTTTACTGTAAAGCTCCGCTCCAGTTTTGAGGGAAAACATAACAGAGGGTGGTCTAAGGATCTCCTACCCTAAACACTCGTCAGCACTTTAATCGGCTCCTTGTGTATTTGGATTGCCGCCTAGCCGCACAGACACAACCTGCTTACTTTTCCGAGATTCCAACCAATGCCCATCACTATGGCAGTTTGCGTCACTGACCACTATACAGTTTGGGCAGCTTACTTTGAAAACAAGAACACTTATAACAGATATGATCGACTATGAAGGTGAGAAAAAATATTTCAGTAATCGAATTTAATAAAACAAATGTCCTTTGAGGAAAAATCATATACATTTAGCAACAAGTCTGTCGCGAACGCAACTCTTAGTGTTTATATGTAAATATGATAGCGAAGTATGCAGTTGTCACACAACTAGTTGGTCATTTGATCGATAGCTTAAGGCAAAGTGCGTAAGGGCAGTTCCATCCATTTTTACATTGTATCTCCATACCGTGTTCTGTCTTACATAAGTAACTTTTTTCTAAGTGTGCATTCACAGCTTCAAATAAAAAGCTTTTTGTTTGGAAAAATGCAGCAGCTTTTTTACTTGATGGTGAACTGAAAATTGTTACCATTTTGAATTTAAAAAAATGTAAACTTTCAGATTTTAAAGTTTGTCAGAAAATAACGTTTGTTAACGTCTTGTGTGTTACTTTTATTTATTAAATATCATGTTCTTCGCCCTTAAACCATAAAATTTAATTCAACAGCAATATCACAAAATAATCTTAAACAAGGATATCTTTAGAATTTCCGATAAACAGTCTCGCAAGCTGGAGATAATTTTCCATACAGTGTTACCATTGCTGGCTTTGATATCGCTGAGTTTGTTAATCAAACATTCATTAAACTTTTACAAAATATGAATCAGATAATAAATTAAATTCCAAATTTGGGCTTCCGAATGCCCATATTAGTGTGGAGGACTACGTTATTCAGAATTTGGTATCTCTAGCTACCGTTGTATTTTCACAATGCGAGAAACATACATACGTTCATGCAGATATCTATATATACAAATAATGTATATATATATATACATTATATATAATGCAAATATAATGCAGGGCTCTAACAGACGGGGTGGCAACAATTTGAAAAATGAAACGCTATTTATAGGGAACCAACGCAAAATGCCAAAACGAAATAGCTCTTCTGGGCAAATTGCCCCTTTGAGCTAAAAAGAGATTTCTTAACGAACGGAAAAAATAAAAATACTTCCCATTTCTTATTACTAACTTTTGGTTACGGTTTAAGGATTTCTGTGTAGTGTGGCGACAAATGCCAGCAAACTTGGGGATTAATATCTGATAGTCGATAAAACCAATAAGTACTTTGCCATATATAATAACGGTTGAATTAATGACTAGTGAATAATTCTTGTACAGACAAAATTTGTATTTTGAATAGTTACTTCAATACTCTAAATTCACTGGTCAAACCATTACTATGTAGTATTTTGTAATATAAACTTAATTTGTGATAAAACAAAAAATTCCAGTCTCAAATTTAATGTTTATTTAGGATTTTCATCCGTAGAGAACCCGTTGCATTCTTAGTCGCCAAGCTCGTGGTTCATCGATGATGAGCCGAGCCATAAACGTGGGTTTGGTACTTTTCCGTTTCGCCGGCGCAAATCTCGCCAAGCAGACTTTATTGGCGACAACATACAGTATGCACATAAAAAATATTAAAAAAGAATGTTAGTTCAAAGAATTCTTTTTTTTTGAAGGCATAAACATTTTAATATCGCTTACAATTTTATAAAAAGCCAATAAATGAAGGCAATAAATTTGCAAAAAGACATTAAATTAAGAATTTACTATGGTTCAACATCCTGATTCGCCGGTTCATATCACGTGACCCCAAGCGATCTCATCTCACGTAAACTACTCTACAAAAATCTAATGCTCTCAGTAATTATCTACATTAATTTGAAGTTAAATCTTAATTTGGAACACAAGTTTAAATGCAAGAAATAATTCAGTTCGTACGAATAACTTACTCAGAAATTATGTAAAAATGCAGTACTTTACTTCGCTAATGCATTCTCATTAGAGTCGAGGAATTTAACCTTTGACTTTACCTTTTCTATATTTTCGGCTTCGGGCAAGCGCTGTGATTGCATCCTAACTAACTTAATTACCGAAAATGGCCTTAGACATAAAACTGAACTATCTGATAAAAATTCTATGTAATTATATGCCAGTAATGAAAGAAACAATCAATCTGATAAGAAAAAGCTGCGACTTGTTTTGAAAATGAGCCGTAAAAGGTTACCAGCGAGAATATTCCGTTTGGCATTATTGGCGACTTTATCGCTTGCGCCGGCAAAACGGAAAAGTACTGTGGTTTTTAGTGCATGTAAATTCAAGTTAGCAGATAAAACAATATATTAAGCATATGGTAGTAAAAATTCACAGATAATATGCATGTAGATGTAAAACTAAACGGTTAAACGTGATATATGAAAATAAATTTGTCTTAAATTGCAGTTAACACAGAAAACAATATATTCCTTACACCAGTAGTGGTTGACTAATTTTGATGACCATGGTGATGCATCAAACTATTCTGTCATCATAGATAATCAATAATATTTTTTATTTCAATTTAATTACCTATTTATATCACACCTGCCGTCCTGCTGAAAGGTTATTTGTTAGAAAAGCATTAACAATATATTATCTTGGTTAAAATTTTACGCCATAAAAATTGATTTATTCTCATAATTTTAGGTGACAATAACCAATAG